CGCCAAAGAACGTACAATGTACCAGCAGCCAAGACAAAGCGTTTTGCTAATTCGATTTTCGTGAAGTGTGCAGCTGTAACCAACTCAAGTTTGAGATGAATGAGAACCCCTTTCAACAGAACTTTAAGCCATTATATTTATAATTGTACATTAGTAGCTTGTAAATAATTACGCAATTCAGTATTTTACTGCGATGTGATTTAATAATAAACCAGTCTATTATCCAGTCTATTATCCAGACCACATAACTCTCGTACAAGGATAATGGCAATAAAACGTCACAGATTGCTTAGTTACATATTAAGTTAGGTTTTTCACTCTCCATCACATACGATATTTAATACTAATCCACGCAGGCTTAACTAACTGACCAATAGAAACGTTTCCTTGATTTATTCAGTCACACTGTGCGCTCAATATTTGATGTTTGTGTACAATCAGTGAATTCCCATAACACACCGCTGGCCCGCTGTTTTCATATTTGTTTGTTATTGACTTAGATAACCACTCTCTTCTACTCAATAATATTGTAATGATATGAATTTTTGAATAATTATGAATGAGAAGAGGGGGAATCAAAAAGAGAAAAAAAAGAAAATAACAGAAAAAGAATAAACATTTTGAAATGAAGCTACAAATAATTAAATTTATCGTTTACTTTTATTGTTGAAAATACTCTAAGAGAGAATCCACTCTCAAAAAGAAAAGCAATAATCCCTGTGTCTTACTTTGTTACACACAAAAAGTTGCCGTCAAAGCGTCTTTTTTGATCTGATTTTTTTGTTTCTGAAAGGATTTGCTACAAGGAAAGACAATGTCGCAAGAATAGTTAAATGTCATATTTTTTTTTTAGCTACATCGATTTTTGAAAGAAAAAAAATTAAAATAAAATAAAAAGGTCAAGTATGAGGATGAGGAGAACAATTTATGGATGACTTTCAACGTTGTGTCTGCTGTTGTTATTGCCATTTTGGCGCCGAAAGAAAGTAATCTTGCGCAAGAGGGCCTTGTACTCTCGCCTGAACTGTCTGTTCATGATACCGTAAATGAATGGGTTGATAGTGCTACTCAGATAGGCCAAGAACGCGTATGTCAAGTAAACCTGTCGTGGTATCTTGGGTTCTCCGCGCGCGGCGTCCACGTTATCCACAACGGAGATAGGGAGCCAGCAACACGCGAAGCCAAGCAGAACTGCTAAGGTTTTCGTTACTTTTGCTTCTTCCACATTCGCGCGGAGTTGACTGAGGTTAACACCTAGACAGAAAACACGATTTGATCTTGAAACTGAGCGGAACACTTTGACATAGCAGACCGCTATGATTGTTAAGGGTGCTGCGATGTAAACACATTCGATTGTAATAGTGTAAGCCATGTTGCTTTCAAACGTGTACAAACACATTGCTTTTCCAGGCTGGAATTTAAAGCTATTTTTGCCCTCAAAGGAAAACGGGGGCACAGATCCAGCGAAAGCCAGGCACCACACAATGACAATGTATATCAACGCTCTTTTCTTCTTAAACAACAAGAGATACCTTTCTGGTTTTACAACGCAGAAGAATCGGTTGACCGCAATGATACCCATGGTATCCATAGCGACAATTCCGAAAGTCAGTGCGGCAAAACCTTGAAAGAGACAGAAAGATTCGCCAAATATCCACTGGCCATGGAACAGAGTAACAACTGTAAAAGGCATACAGCAGATACACATTAGAATATCGCTCACAGCTAGTGCTATCACGAACATGTTGGGAATTGTTCGCAGC